AGTCCATCATCCTGATTTCTTGCTCTTCTCTAAATTTTAGTTTGTATTTCTGCACTTGCAATAAAATCCCTCCATAGCTCATCAAAGAAATATATCTGCAAACATGTGACACAGAGTGATTAGGAGTGATGAAACTGATTGCATGAGCAGCCTGGTCTTGGTGCAGGGCTAAGATACCTCAGAACACCCCAGAACAACGTTAGGTTGGTGATTTACTGAGACTGTAAAGAAACATACACCTTTTCTCCCTAGACCCCATAACCTGCTGCTGACCACAGATGTGGCTCAGATGGAGTCTAGAGGCCCAGATAATAAAATCTCATTAAGCATATCCATCTTTTGCAAGTGTGTTTAGAAAAAGAGAGCAAGTGACAGAGCGCATTCTCTGGATCTCTTTCACCAGACAGAACAGCATTTGTCCCTTAGGCTGTTGCAGACTACCCTAATGGATATCTGACTCGGGCGCAGTCTAGCACAGTCTCCTGTTACAGCTGGCAGCCAGCATCAGGTGCCTCACAGCCAAGGGCGAGCACAAGACCTCCTCATTAGGCAGGTACTAGATACTCACAAGTTTCAGCCTGGTCTTTAAAACCTAGAAGCTGTATTAAGTCCTTTCCAACTATGTCCCAAATACGTGTTTTCTAGCAGCTGGAATTTGTATTAGGCAAGATTGTTTGTCTGTGTCAAACCAGTGCTGGTAATTGCCGAACTGCTTGTGGATGTTGGTGTGTATGAAAATCTTTCAATCCCTATTCTCAAGCACCTGCTAATTCAGCTGTGAGCTCATTTATCTTTGCAGTGCAACTACCACTATTCGGTGACCCAGTCACGCTGCTGACTACCGCCCCTGAACAAAAGTCATGAGATAACACAGTGAAGCATAGATTGCACTAAAAATGAGTGAGATCATGGCTTAATAACAAAAAGCAGCTTGAGTCCCCAATACCTTCTGATTACATGTATTACACTGACACCAAGTTCATGCATACGCCATCCCCTTTATGTTCAGCCTTAGAGAAGCAGTTAGTAAAACAGCCCATGAAGGAGTTGCCAATATGATGGACAGAGTCCGGCTGTCCTTAATTACGCTATTTTAGCGCTGCCTTTATTTATGCTATTTATCTTACAAGCGAAGAGCACACTAAAGTGAACATAAGATTAAGACAGAAGGTAAGAATTAGCTTAACAAATGCCAGGAATGGGAAATGGAAAAGGAAAGGTAGGAAGATGTATCAGCCTTAGCCCACCTGGTTATAGCTGCACGGCTTCAAGCCATAAAAACAAACATACGAAGTCGTCGTCTCACAGTTTCTGCAGTTAGCATCATCTTACCGTATCAGGTGACTAGTTACCCCCGGCATCCCAGCAGCTCTGGAACAAGGACTTCAAAAGGACATGAGAGTGGAATGGAGTTTGGGGGAAGGATGAAACTCTTGTCAGTGAGTTTCTCCTTGAGCTGGGTTCCCAAGTATGCTGGCAACAGGGTAAACATTACCTGTGTTTGTCAACTCAGTTAACTGCATATTCCCGGTAAGAATTTTGTATCACTCCCACTTACTTATTTTTAGTTTATTGCATTAGAAGCAAGGATATTAATCTTGCTCTGTGCAAGAGATCTTACATTTCCTTCTAGGACATTTGAAAGTATTGCTTTTAGTTTAATAACACATTTTTATTCTCAGCATGTTGCTTCCTCCCTGCCAATATTTCAGCTTCATCACTAATTCATGAACCATCACTCTGGTGAGAATCAGCCCTAGACTGAGAAAAAGAATTCCTACATTTATTTGTCTCTTGGTTTATAAAAGAAACTTTTATCTTCAATAAGGGTTTTTTTTTTATTCTGAAAAATAATCATAAATTAGATTTACATTTGTACAGTCAACAGAGAATTTGGTGCATATATTATAGACCTAAACTAGGTAAAAGGGTATTATATCAAAGGCTGGTTAGTCTTTTACGTGCAGAAAAGTCTGTAGTGGGTTTTTCAAAGCACCATGGAGAGTACCCAGCATCCACTGACATCTGGAAATATCTTTAGAAAATCTGGCTCTCCACAAAAAGAGATCAGAACAAACTATACCCAAAAAACCCTTCTATGACAGGAAACTTAATGAGCAAAATAAGGGTAGATAAAGCTATGGTCACAACGCAAAGGGAGTTATCTGGGGTGGAGCTGTCTCTTCGTTCACGCATGTATTGCCAGGAGATAGCTGGGATACTACCACTATAAAATTAAGTGTAATTGTCCCTGGACAACATCATCTTTCTTGGGTAGAATCCTGTATCATTCCTTCTGCTCTCTAATTCTGCAATGGCTGTTTGACAGAACTGGTTTCCTAATGCAGGCTCTCCTGTTAATTTTATGTTTTCTGATAAAGTACGAGAGCAATCCTTCCCAGAGTGCAGCTCACCGTCACCATTCTCTCTCCTTCGCAAGCATTCAACCTGAGAGATCTCAGGGCCCCTTCTGACCTTAATATTGCAAATTATTTCTTAAAGAGAATTACAAACACTTCTGAGGGGAAGGCATGAAAAAAGTAATATGCCCAACACTCCCAATTATGGAACTATGACCAGACAATAAAACAGAAGAGAAAAATTCCTTCTCCTATACTTAACATTCAAAGAGAAGGTTAATTCCAGCGTAACTCCACAAACTAAAGCATATGGCGATACGATAGCAAGTTAATTGAAAGATCTTTTAAATACCAAACTGCAAAAAAGCATGACTACAGTTTAAAATCTGCTTCTCTTGAGAGGGTAAAATACCTCTATTTAGTTTAGTTTGCTTTCCCCTGCCAGGGTTATTAGTGCCTTTTCTGTTACTTTTAGATGAGTTCTGCATAGGAGAGTAACAAAAATTACAAACACTTCTGAGGGGAAGGCATGAAAAAAGTAATATGCCCAACACTCCCAATTATGGAACTATGACCAGACAATAAAACAGAAGAGAAAAATTCCTTCTCCTATACTTAACATTCAAAGAGAAGGTTAATTCCAGCGTAACTCCACAAACTAAAGCATATGGCGATACGATAGCAAGTTAATTGAAAGATCTTTTAAATACCAAACTGCAAAAAAGCATGACTACAGTTTAAAATCTGCTTCTCTTGAGAGGGTAAAATACCTCTATTTAGTTTAGTTTGCTTTCCCCTGCCAGGGTTATTAGTGCCTTTTCTGTTACTTTTAGATGAGTTCTGCATAGGAGAGTAACAAAAATTATTTGGGAATTTTTATACATTCAGAGTTTTTGTCTGCTCCAGCCAACATTAGTGGAAGGAAGATCAAGGATCCACTAACTGTAAGACATCAAAGTGTTGCTAAAAATATATCAACTGTGTCACATATTTAACAAAAATTCTCCCCAGGACAGGAGTATTTAAGGGGATCTTTATGGAAACACTAGAGAAATGAAAGTAAGTCATGAGAAGAAATACAGCTTGTGTAAGATGACTTCAGAGGGACTTTGAGCTTGTCAGAGGTTTGTAAAGTTTATACTACAAAACTGAGCAGACTAAGGAGAAATTTGTGACAAGTCTTCCTGTGTTATTGCAGTACATTGCCAATTTTATGGGCGAGAGCATGAAGATGACTATTATTCATCTCTTATAGGCAAAACATTTGAGGCTCAGGATTTGAGAAAGCTTTAGATGCTTCACTACCTACCACAGCAGTAGATTTAATTATCACGTCACAAAACACGGTAAACTGAATGTGCTGCTCACAGCGAGGTGGTGATGAAGAGTGGGAGAAACTAGCACAAGTAAGAGGGAGAAATAATTTGGATGGAAAAATGAGTAATTGTGGAGCTCCCACACAAAACCACCCCAGATGTTCTGGGGAATTTCAGATCTTTTCATTATGGAAACCCATCTACGATCAACCAAGGGGAGGAGGCTCATTCCCTACAGCACCAGAAACAGCTGTGGTTGTCCTGGCTGCATGACACCAAAGAGATGGAGATAGAGCCATGCAAGGTTGGTTTGTTTGTTTTGGACTGATTTGTTTTCTTTTTGAGTTGTGGCACACATTTTACCCAACCTTCTAATAGAGTACAGGTTTAACAGATTCTAAGATCACAGAATCATACAATGGTTTGGGCTGGAAGGGACCTTAAAGATCACGTAGTTCCAACCCACCTGCCATGGGCAGGGACATCTTCCACTAGACCAGGTTGCTCAAAGCCCCATCCAACCTGGCCTTGAACACTTCCAGGGATCAGGCATCCACAACTTCTCTGGGCAACCTGTTCCAGTGTCTCACCACCCTCACAGTGGGTGAGAAATCTACGCTGAAAGAGCGTAGATTTAGATTAGTTTAAAGCCATTACTCCTTGTCCTATCACTACATGCCCTTGTAAAAAGTCCCTCTCCAGCTTTCTTGTAGGCCCCCTTCAGGTACTGGAAGGCTGCTATAAGGATGATACTGAGTATCTTTAACAAAGACCACAGACTGTTCCTACAAGGAGGTGGAAAGGTGGGAATAAATAAGGAGGCTCCTGCTACTGGGGAATAATATTACTCCATGGATATCTGAACAGTTGTGGTTCAATCACAGCTATAATAATGACCATATATGAGTGACCTGAAAGACACTACAAATCCAAAATGATCATTAAATTGGTAGCACACCAAATCAGACAACGTGGTGTCAGTAGTACAGCTAGCATGTTTCAACCTGGGGAATATTTACAGGATCAGGCTCTTCCATTTTGACTGCGATGGCACATGAAAAGCATATGTAAGCTGACTAGAGATAAAGAGTTCCATGCAAGAGAGCACGGTATCCTGAGACTATACAATAAAAGCAATGCCACAACATTGCAGAGAGAACATCGATGGACCTTGGAATACACTGAAAGTTGGGATAGTTTACACAATTGCATTGTGTTCTGCAACATCCATGGGAGGACCATGTATTCCCAAGTCATTGGTTTCAGCGCAAGTGTGTACATATCATTCTGCCCCAGTACGCAGATTATTTAATAAGACTGTTACCTTGTTCACACCATCTGCCATCGCTTGCAGTGTTAGCTCTCTAGGTCCATCCACAGTCTTTCCATTATCAGTTGGTCCCCAGCTGGCACTATATATGTCTATGACTTGAGGCATATGACTGATAGAGGAAGCCTCAATAATGTCTGTCATAAATGGCTGGTCGAGCATTCGAATACCTGTGGATTTAATCAACATAAACATGAATCACTCATTACCCAGCACAAGATGAAATCTCAGCACCTGGAGAAGTCCCCCAGTTACAGGTATTTTAATTCACTGGCAGTTTCACCCACTCAGTAATTCCGCACTCGGCATTCACGTTTCACCAGGGTGTGCTTACACAGCAGGATGGCAGCACTTGAACACCCAGCCACAGCAATGCAGCATGGCCCAGAAAGAGAAAGCACTTTATTGTTAGCTTTCTAATTACATAGTATTTTCCATCTACTATTTGAAAACACTTTTTAAACAGTAGCATTCAGCAATCTCAGCATTTCATAGCATTTAAATAATATTCATAGTATTTAAAATAGTATTTTGTAACAACCAGGGAAAAGGATTAAGGCTTCCCCACATCCCTAATTTATCTCAGTGATGCGTTGACACTTCATTAGTTTTTCAAGTAATTTTTCCTGTTTATTTTGGTTCTTCTCCAGAATTTAATCAGAGAGGGGAAACACACGACACAACAATTTCCTGGAAAAATATCATTGTGTCAACATGCAGACTCAATAGCAAAATATGGCCAGTATTTGGAGAAAAAAGCAAACTAAAACCTGCTTCCTTTAACCCATACTGCAGTAGAAATCGAGGTAAGAGTTTAAACGATACAATCCTAGGACATGCCAACTTCATAAAACCTCAAAGTGTTGGCCTTAAGCAAGCCAGAGAGTGTGACAAAGACAGCAGCGCAAGCCCTCACATCATCATAGGACAGTTTCATTGATAGCCAACCTGTCAGTGGCTTTTGGATGAGACCTGAGCAACCAGGGACACATTCCAACTCTCATTTGTAGCCTTGAGTTGAAGTTAAGTTTTTCCCAACAGTTTTAGGACACAGATGGGACAGAAATCGATACCACAGAGCCAAACAGTGTGAATGGCAGCGAGGACCCTGATTTAGAAGCCAGTGCTTTTACTATATTCAATACAAAATCCATGTGCCAAATGTGAGGCTAGAAAAAGTGGTATAAACTTCAAATAGAAACCAGACCAAAGCTGGATATTCCTGATCTGTTAATTCAAGCTAGAAATTATGAAGTTAAACTCAATGAGTGAGAAATCCCTTCACATGCTTGTAAATGCAGATCTGCGCTGAAACCACAGAATTAATTATTGACCCCGGGGAGGTGGGGGAGCAACAGGAGGAGCCAAGCCATCTGGTTTGACTTTAGGGCAAAAAAGAGGTATGGGAAGCAAAACACACGATGCCCCAGAACCTTGGCTACAAACTTCCAATTCTACCTGCAAACATGGACCTTGAATCATGTCAGCAGCAGACTCTCGGCTCTAATGAGCTTCCAAGATCCCACTGACCACACGGTGGTGCTACAGGTGCACGCTGTCCTCAGGCAGGAAAGGCTGGCTTTTCCAAAAATCGGTGGGGATTTTGCTACAAAGTGGACAAGTATGGAAGGCTATTTGTAGGCTGTTGTCATGAGAAAAGGCCTTCACCTCTTCATTTTTAAGCAACCGGCTTGAAGTTGTAGAGTTCTACTAATAATACAGATGAGGTCCAGCCAAAATCCCATGCCTCAATTCACATTCCTCTAAAAGTAGCTATTGCCAGAACGTAAATTTTGTGAAATGTCCTATCCCTGAAGGGGACGTTACCATTACTGAAGAAAGGGGACAAGCACTAGACCTGCCTGGCCAGTTACTAACTCTCGATGATATTTCTTGGGGTTTGTCTTAGCAAACACTGCTTGGTGCCCTTCTACCATGGAGATTCAGCTTTTGATTGTGTAGGTGACAGGTGAAATGTAGCCTTCCCTAGATTCTTCTGACACCGCGGTGAAACAGGGCAGAGCAGAGCTGCCCATGCATACACACTGTGATCCATTCCCAGGAAGCAATGGGTGCATCCACACTGGTGTTTTGGTGTGGATCGGGGAATGAAAGTGAAATTCATAAACATCTATCTCTGCCTGCTGTGCCTCGGTTCTCATCATGGAACAGTCTTAGAGTGGGAAAACTGGATTTCTTAAGATTAAACTAAACTGACACATGCTATCCAAGAGCCTAACTCACTCCAATCACTGTATTCAGTCTATCAGAGCAGACGAGCTAGTTAGCAGTAAAAATACCCAACACACCCAAGGTGTGAATGCTGGGTGCTAGGCACCACCCATTTAATTTTGTGCATCTGCTCCTACCACTCTGCATCATTTGTTAAAATAGAGGAAACCAACGATCGCAGAGATTTACAGCACTGTGGGCCCTGCCCTGCGAGAGCCTAAAGAATAAGAGCAGCATGGGATTTGCCTTTTCAAATAGTTTCTAAGTGCAGCAGGAATTTATATTTTACCTCCTGCAAAATGAGATTTGTCGCAAGTGATTCTGCAACTATGCAGGGAAAAAGTACTGAAAATCAGTATACAAACAGGAGTTGGCATAAGAAGGAGCAGAGCTGTTCCTTTACTATGTATTTAAAGAGGCTATATACAGCCCTCAATTGAAAAGGCAAAGCCATGGAGAAATTCCTCTCCCCAGCTACTGTGAAAAGTAATAAACACACGGCCCAGTGCCAACCTGCAGTCCTGTCCTGGGCAATGCTCCCTGTCTCTGCAGGAAAAGTTCTGCCTGAGGCATAGTGGCATAAGGACCGTTTACACTTTGAATTGCTACCGTACCTGCCACCTTGGAGTTGTACGCAACTCCCACGCCGCAGATGTTGTTGTTGGCAGCAGCAGACACCTCTCCCGCACACCTCGTCCCATGGCTGCAAAAGGGAAGACAGAGACACCACGTGAACCCCAGCTAATGCATGTGCTGAATTGAGCTGGATCACCGCGATTCTTGTTTTTGCCTCATAGTCAGCTCCCAGCACTTCAGAGGAAAACCATTCCATGGCAAACTGTTGAGTGCTGTACTTGGATACTCGTATGAGCTCATTCCTTCCTGAAGCAGGAGATAATCAATTTCCCCCCTGCAGTATGAGCAATGCTTGCTCTGAGGTTAACATGCATATTTACGCTTCATTTAGCTGTAAAGTTATTCAGACCTTTTCTTTTTAACTTTGTCAAACAGGTTCTGCCTTGTTACCAACTATTAGTCAGTAGGAACAGTCCCTTGACAGAACAGTGTAAAAATAAGATCAATACTAATTCCTTTATTTTTGTGACTTGATAGTGTGATACCCATTATTTTGAACCCCACAGAACAAAGTCTGATTGCCTTTTTGCTATTCAAACATGTATAAGGAGTGTATCCCTGCCCACAAAAAAAATGCCATGGAAAGAGATGGGTGCAACATCAAGCTGGAGTAGCAGAAGGGAGCCACAAGGGTGACTGCACTCCTCAGCAGCAGAGCTGTGGCCCAGCTGGCCAGGCCCAAAGCTGGCCAGACCCAAGGCACCTGCATCCCTCTCCTCTAGTGCCTAATTCCCAGGAGAGTTGACAAGGTGCTCCAGCTGCCAGCTCACGGAGCTACTGCTTTCTGCTCAAGTGGAAAATGTCTCTGCTCTGACATGAAGGTCCAGGTTTGGGCTGACGCACGGCATTTCAAGAACACTTGGCGTCTCTGAAGTGCTTCACAGCTCTTAACAGAGACTCTTTAATTGGCAGTGGCTCTGAGGCAGTCTGGCAGGAAGGCAGATTGCATTTTCCTTACTCCTAATTCATCAGAAATTAAACCACAGAGAAGATAAATATGAACAATATAATCTACTTTTAAAAAATTAGCACAGCAGCAGAGAAACTAGTGAAACCTGTGCTGCTGTCAGGTTTTTTTAAGTTTAAGATGTTGAATCAATATGAATCTATCCTACTGTTCACATCAATCCACTCTGTGCACTAAAACTCACATTGCTCCTATAGCATGCTAAAGATTCATACTATTAGCAGTGCTGTATTATAAAGGCTACGGAATACCAGATGAACCATCCTGGGAGGCAGCAGAATTGTTTTGTTTTAAGCATCTCTGGCAAAGGTGAGTGTAACATTAATAAAGGGGTGAGAAGTAACACATTCTTTTTCCTGCTGTACTTGGAAGAATATGTTTTTAAAGGCAGCTCCACGAAAGAAAACGACTGGCCTCGAATGTACACAGTGTCTTGATCACGAAAGGGTGAAGATCTCATGCGAGTTCCTTTTACAAAGGAGGCAGAGAGGAGAGTAATACAGATTACTTATTCAGCTGCTGGAGAAATTTCTTTCAACAATCAAGCAGGTTTTCCCTCATGCCCTTGTTCAAGGAACTGTGAAAAAAATATACCGTTGCTAGGCATTCATTATCTAGTCACCTGTGGGCTAGCTACAAGCCATGGAGCAGAATAAATGGCTTTGTTAAAAAATTGTCCTGACTGATGCTGGGGTGCAAAAAATCGGTGACACTGCCAGGTGAGCTCTTTCTCTCACAGAGGGAAAAACTGTATTAGGACCTTCCTGGTAAAAAGATTTTATCAGAAGGTCCTCTCCCCCACCTCGCCTCCCCAGCGCACTGGCCCACATGATGGAGACTGCAAGCAGACCTGTTCCAGCAGCTCGGGGTTTAGATACCGTGCTGCTGACTGGAGAAAAAAAATGATGTGTGAGTTAGTGGAAACACATTTGGTTGAATTATTAATGGCAAATAGCAGACTTTTCCAATGTAGCCCTATTTGCTGTTCATGTATCATTGATAAACCCATTGTGGTTTCTATGAAGTGACCCATGTCATAGGCACAAATCACATCTTTTCTCTCCAACGTTCACCTCTTCACTATTATTTCCATGTTTAAAACAAGGGGATAGAAAACAATTAAGAATAATTTCAGCTATGAACAAGTTACTTCAAAGGTAAACCACATAGTAGCACGCACAGCAAGTTTTCCATAAACATTATATAAATGCAAACATTTTACATGAACATTCATGAAAACCTAAGGTGGGAGAGGGTGATTCAATTGAAAGTCAGTTTTGCCTTCAGCTGGTTTAAATAACATATCTGTACTAGTTATGAAAATGTCACTCTGCTTTGTCTTTGAAAACTATTATCTAAACCCCACATTTTTTAAGAAGTCAGAGGTGGTACAGATTTTCATTGGGGTTCCTTTTCATCTGCTTTTGAAAGGCTTCTGCAGACAGCAAAGGACAGGATTCATCCTTCCTAACTTCAGCTGTCTGCCGGGGGAGGGCTATGCAGAGCTGCAGTCTCAATAGCTGGGACGATCTGTGTATCTCAACCACTTTAGTTGCCTGCACTGGGCAGCAGTTAAATATGCAAAGCTCAGGGGGACACTTTTGTGGGGCAAATGCCATCCCCTTTTTACTCACATGACATTGTCAGCTTCTGAGCATTTGAGTGTTTGCACAAGGAAAAGCGTTCCCCTACTTTGGGGAACGTGCCACTCTGCCTGCATCTAAACATGCCAAGAACCAGCAGTAGTCTGTGGCTCCTCCTTGACACTTGCGTCGTTACACTGCATGTAGAAACAGCTGCTAAATCTGTTTATACAAATTCTCAATTATTATGTTGTTTCCATTGTATTGACTGAAAAATGAGGAGGAGGGGAACAGGTGTTTTTACCCTGTTAACGAGCACTGTCTGGAAGCCAAGGGGAGTTCCTTCCTTGACTCAATGGTATTTTGTTTGGATCCATAATAAGTAAAGGACATTTTTACCTCTGAAGAATATAGGTTTCCAAGATAGTGAATAATTTTTTCCCAGCTAACTCTTATCTGGGTGAGAGAATATACAGAATACAAAGGCTACAGGAGTGAAAATTATTCATTATTTGTATCATGGCAGAAATTCACAATCTCAGTGCTCTGAGATGGGGAACCCTGAGTTGTGTCTTCTGCATGCTCGCAACAAGAAATCAGAGGGTTGTACAGAAAGGCCAAGCTATCTCTGACTCCTATGGGCGCCTCTGCACTGCACAACACGGTACATGCCAAGGTACTGAATGTGGTTCAGGAGAAGTGGGTGTTAAAAATCACAGGCAGTTCCCAAAGTGGTTCCTAAAAACCAGAGTGCTGTGGAGCTACCTCTGCTTTTGGGAACAGGGCTTGATTCAGGTTCCTTCACTGCTCCCACGGCTCCTCAGGCTCAAACACAGCCCTGCCCCATGTTGCACCCAGTGTCCCCTATCCTGGCTTGGTCCCCAAGCTGTGGGTCTGAACACAGTCAAGCAGTCAGTACAGTAAGCACGGGAATAAATCCCTTGACTTCCCAGTCAACTGTTACAGTCTCCCTGTAAGAGCAGCTGAACTGCCCGACTGCAATTCCCTGCCCGAGGCACCACACTGTCCCCTTCCAAAACCCACCCTGCTTGGTTTCATAGGCCAGTGGCTGTTAGCTGGAAAGGCCAAAGTGCTTACAGCATCCTTAAAAAGCACAAAGTGGAAGGGGAATCTCTGCTTACAAGCAGAGCAGCTGCGATTAATGAAATACTCCATGCAAAAACCTCTCCCTTTTTTTCTTAAAGTCTAATGACACTTTGCACATGCAGCTGGCAGCTCACAAAAGCCCCTTGGTTCATCTCTTTAAAAAACAGTCCTCTGCTTCTTGTTCCACAAATCACTTGAATTGCTCACACAGAAATGTATTCTTTATGGAAAAAGGGATATTACGCTATCCTATTTTGAGTGTGATTGTCCTGCATGCATAAAATTCAATGGGAGATACATCACTGACTGCAAACTGAGCAAGACGGAGCCTTTATTGCAGGTTTCTCTGAATGGCTTTTCTGTGTAACTACTCTCTATTCAGACGCACCTTTGCAGCTACACATATGGATAGACAGACTGTCATAGACAGACAGTTGTAACCTACCAGTAATAATAATTCAGGAGTCAGAAGTTATGACAATTGCTTATATATGAGCACATCAGCTTGATTAACAGTATAGCCAAGAAATACACAGAGAGAAACACAACTACTCCTGAACAGCTGGATATCGTGTGTTGGTTTGCATCTTAGCCTGGAGAAAACATGAAATCTTGCTTCTTAAAGCCTTCTTGAATTGTGCAGGCAGGAAAGGGATGCTTTACTGAATGTGTTGCTCCTGTGATTTACCTTGCAGGGCAGAAAATTCCCTGTCTCACCAAAGAAACCTCGATGTTTGTGACAAAGAATGCTATACTTTCTACGTCAGTTTTTTCTGGAAAGAATAACAAAGGAAATCAGCAAAGCAATCTCTGCATTGCTTTTCTCCTCCTGACTTGCTGACTTGAGCTCCCCATCCTCTCAAGAAAAGAAATAGAAGAAAGTGTTGCAGTTCTCTGAAAACCTGAGTCACGTTGTTCTCAATATTACAGATGCTGCTCACCCTCGATTCTTCACTTAGGTGCCTGAAGTTAGCCAGAGGCACCTGGGGCCAGAGACCATAACCTTTGCCACATCCAGGATGCTCAAGGCCCATTTTAAGAGACTTTAGGAGGTAACTCTGCCTCCAGGGCCACCCTGCAGAACATGTGAGGACTGCAAACTGTGCCCCACTATAAAATACTTGATAGCAGCACAATCAGTGTTAATGGGCCTTGGCAGAACACACTTAGTTTTATGAAGTTCCACACTGAAAATGACAGAAGCTACCATTACCCACTAAAGTTAAATTTAATTTTCCTCCGTGCTGCTCCAGAGCTAAGTGATATCTTTCTCCTACAAAGATCCTTTGCATAAATAAAGCGAGAAAGGCAGCAGACCTTCACAAATTAGAGCCCTAGTCTTTCTCTGACTTTCCATTCACTAATTGGATTCATACTAGTTTAAAAGTGTTAGATGTCCTTTACCGAAATGAAGGAGAAATCTCATTGGCATCTTGCTTTGGCTGAAAAATGGCAGGACTACAAAGGAGGACATCACAGCTCCTCAATCTGTTTGATCCATTCCAGGAAGCCTGTGTCTGGGGGGGACCCCCAGCCGCTCCACATCTTTGTTGTGCCATTCTGACAGAACTAAAATTGATTTCTTTAGAAATAAAAACAAAAAACCCATACAAAACTCAGAGGCCATCCATACACCCATACTAAGTTAGAGATGAAAACCACATCAAATAGGCCTAAAATATTTTTTGATAAGCACTAAGACTGAGGCCTGAAACCTTTGAAAGTTTTCAAATCCTCAGTGCTGCTGCTATTTAAATGTTGGTAACATCAATTATATTTACATCTAGAAGACATTTGGAAATGTCTTTGAAAATGTCCTGAAACAATTTTTGCAAATCCTAGCCAGAACCTGCCTGAGACCCTGGGCAGTATGTCGCAGAGCCAGAGATGCTGGATGCTGAGATTGCCAAGTAGTAAACACACCTTATGGCTGTGCCTCGGACTCTGCACCCTTGACTACCTTAACATCTTGCTATGAGCAGTTAGCCTGACAGAAAGGGCTTTTTCATGGGACGGATGCAGAATCCAGGGCACACACTTTTTGAAAAACTGTCAATGTGTGTTTCTGTTCCATTCTAACCAAAAATTAATTTTGGGAAACAAAAAAGGTCACATTTCCTAAAATCTGAAGCCTCTTCTTTTGGGCCGTTCTTATTTATATCATACAGAGAGGACCAGACGTTCACCTGCTGGAAACTGGCTAAGTTCAGAACATACTGAAGGAGGAGTGGGTCTTGGGCAATCATGATGTGTTAGAAATATCACAACAAGCACAGCTGCACTGTTGATTCCAGGTTTACAAACACAACAGAACAGGTTCCCAGTCAGTGTACATGGACTTCAATTCCTCCAGCAGCTAGAAGTATCTCAGAATCAGCTCTGAAATGCTACCCACGTACACTGTCCTTAAATCACGGTGAAAAGACAGATGATTCGGAACTTATGTAAGATTTACTTGTTTTTAAACTGGTCATTCTACACCATGCTGCTTTTCTGCCTTAGTCTATAATCTGATGAAACTACTTTTTTCCCCCAAAAGCCTTTTCCTGTCTCCAGCTTACTCCCTTTAAAATTAGCTAGCAGCTAGCAGTGATACTGCCTCAGACACAGTAGATGGGAAACCGGTCAAAATTGTATTAAATGTATACAGATTTGGGCTACCATAATGTCCTAGGATAGCTGACAGAAAACGGCACGCAGCTAGCACCCATTCAAACAATTTACACATATACTCTCTTCTGAAGCAGCGACTTCATTTATAAACCATAAAATGGTTGTTCAGCATTATCTAGAGGCTACCTAAAAAAATGAAGTCAGAAGTAACCTCTAATTTTCAAGCAGTAGTGAGACTGCAGCTTCTGTTTTGGCAACCACAGAATTGAGCAGAAAAAGGACATTCCACAAGTATCAGCCAATACTTGTAATTTCTTAAGCAAACCAAAGTGAAGAGCAGGCTGATCAAAACCCATTTACCTGTTAAACCAGTCATCTGTGTAGCGGGGGTAGGGGTAGGGATCGTTACTGCTGAAGTCGTAGCTGGCTTTGGCATTCTGCAAAACACAAAGAGGTTCAGTAAATCAGCAGAAAAACAGATGTGCAGGGCAAAGTGGAACACAAACTGAGGGGGAGCTGAGAATCATTAGTAAACTTTGCCCTCTTCATTCTGTGAGATGCATCTGGATGCAAACTGGTCCCTGTTGTGCTGTGCATTTCCCACACCAGCAAGCCTGGGGAAAGATTCTTTCTGGGGTGCAAAGCCTCCTGTGGACCATTAGTACTTCCAAATAGCATGGCTAATTGTGAGGTGGTGTGAGAGCTCGGGCTACTACTGAGGGACTGTTCATCAACACTTACAAGAGTATTTAGGTATTATGCTACTTGGTGTGGCACGACAAAGGTTAAACCCTGTTTTCCAAGCAGTGGTGGAAGTGACCAGACACTTGGGTCTTCCATCATAGAATTACTTTTTAAAAACTCATTTGTGGTACTACAACAAACAGTCAAATTTCTAAAAGCATTTCAATGCCTAAGAATGTAAGTTTCTCAAAATTCAAATGTGAAGACTGCATTAGTGGTCAGCACATATGCCTGAAAATCCCTTTGCATATTTTCTTGGTCCTTTAGTTGTCTGAACAAATGTGGCTTTCAGATGCTTTTGAAAAATGTCATCCCATGTCTCTGCTTTTCATATAAATCTAAATCATTCCTGATTTTGCCCCATCAGCAGAGTTAAGGACACTCAGCAACTTTCTGATGCTGTATCTGAGAAGCAAATGGAAAGTTACGGAAAGTCAAGTGCCATCTTCTTTCTTCTCTCTTAATGAAAAAATAAATAAAGGGTGACTGAAAATTAAGCTTTTAAAAATATTTAGAAGCTTCCTCTCAAGTGTATGTTTACAGTGTTTATATTTTAATAAACACCATACTCAAGGAACAGAATTATGTTAATTCTTAATTAATGTGTACTTGTATTCTTGTTTCAGATTTGGCTGAGCATGCTATTGAAGATAATTTGAGACTCGTGTATGAATAGCTTTGCTCCTAAAAACATTCCCCTTCAGCAGATTCTCAGTTCCTGGGGTACAGGAATAGACAGCCCATTGGTAGCACCAAAGTCTTTGGGTTTTGGATTCAAAACCCCTAACTCTCAAAAACTCTTGTGCCAGAATGTAACGGGGACAACATCGTCCTTGATCCTTGGAGGGTAAAACTAAGTATCTTTCAAGTTACTGTACAGTAAATTTTTTGGGTGATCATTTCAGGAAGCCATTGAATGGAGCAGAGATTTGCAGAATGTTTATCACACGGCTTGATGCTGTTTTCCAGCTCAGACATAGCTGAATCCCTTTCTGAGTATCCTTATTGATGTCTCCGTATCTCTAAACTAAGGCCCTGATTTTGAGCCTGAAGATGCCTTCCAATAATGTCAGCTATAGCCACAAATTCTCAGTGCTTCTAAGTCTCTGTGCCCAGGTGTTTGTTTAATTTACCTCTTTTAATTACCACAACTGCTTACACAGCACTTTGAATGGCATAGATTTGTATGAGCTAAGAGTAAACAGAACATGAGTTTTCGGCCATGGAAAGAAGGGGAATTTGACAGTGATCTATAAAATCATGAAGAGCACAGGGAAGGTGGACAGGGAGTTATTATTTACTACTTCTCATAATATAAGAACTAGTGGGAATCCATAGAAAATTACCAGAGGGGAGATTCAGAAGCAGCAGAAAACAAGAAGTAACTGTTCCACAGAACGTATGAGTTACAAAATTCATTGCCCCCGAGCAATACAGAGGTTAAAAGCCTGAATGAAATAAAGAAGCAGTTAGACAAATTAACGGAAGATAAATCTGGAAGGGGTATTAGATGCTGTGTTTCCTCCTTCTCCAACAACCATAGAACAATGAATGCTAGATGCTGGGAAGCCATAATCAGGTAGATAACCACACAGTCTCTGACTTGGTGACCATACTGCTCCCCAGGCATCCGCTCCTGGCTGCCGTCAGAGGCAGGATCTTGAGCTACAAGATTTTGGGCCTCACCCAGTGCGCCTGGCAAAAGCCATGTGGCACAGACATCCCATCTTAATGCAACAGAGGAAGTTTGGATTCTGCAGTGTCCAGGGGAGCTGTGACAAGGATTTGTGCAAGGGGCCAGGTTTCATCCAATACATGGCAGTAAAAAGAAATGAGCTTGTCAACAGAAGATCCAGCCCTGTTCGTTATTAACGAGTGTAGTATCTACTCCTAGCAGGACAACCTGGAGAACCACATCCTATGGTAAAGTCAAAATGGAAACGATGACTCTCTCTGAGTAATTTAATTAGCAGATAAAACCTACTCTGTCACAGAGTCTAGCTTGGCAACCTTTGGAGAGAAATGCATTTCAATCACAAATTAAAGAAACTTTCTTACACTACCACCTTGGACTAGACATGGCCTATGCAGACTGCAAATAACTAAGCTTAGTTCTAGGGATTTCAAATAATTTCTTTCAGGTAGGTATGGTCTAACTCAGTACTAAATGTAATTAGTTCAATATATTGCCAGCTTCTTTTCTAGTCAGAACTTCTGTTTTCACTCTAAAAATATTGTACAGATGAGAATTTAAACTCAGTCATAGGTCAGCTGTGGTTTTTTTTCCCCATCTGGAAGAAATGCAGTCCTATTTACATAGACCCTAAGCTCAAAGGGGGCCTGGTGAGGCTGATTTTTCAGGACATCATCAGACATGCAAGCACCTCGTGGTAGCTATCAACCGCTCTTGACTCTAGAATTCCCTTATGCAAAGAATTATGGATGGAAAAGCCCTTCTAGCTGTGCAGATGTACCACTCGTGTCCAGAGTAGTGACAGGCAAAGGGATGCCAGCACGAATGATTCAGCCGCCCTACAGCAGACTGCAGCTCTGCTGTATGTCCCATGTAACCAAATGTCAGCTTATGGAAAGGTTGCTTTAGTCAGGCTATAAACAAAGTTGTGCAGCACTCTTCCACATCCTGCAGCTCTTATTCGCTTGATTTTGGATCACTTCACTCAAAGCAAAAAGATATCTAATGTAGCAGGAACCATCCACAAAGTGCAAAATTAAGAATAAATCTTGAAAAGAAAACAACTGCTGACTGCACAATTTATCTTCATTAGGGTCTTTGAGAAACGACAGTGAGATTCAGCTTCATGAAGGAATATTCCGCCCACACTATGGAAGCAGTGGAACGGGTAATGAAACAGCAGTGACAAGTACAAATGGACTCCTTCAAGTTCCTAATTTAAAGATTAAATCCCCAAATATCTAATCCTCAACCTTTTTAAATTTTTTTTTTTAAAAAGCATAAACAAATTAAACCAGTTTCAACACTGGACCAAAAAGGGAACTGCTTCAGTGGACAACTAAAATATTTCATCTTGTGTTTTGGGAAATTAATATTAAAATCTGTGGTCTGCCACTCTCCTCCACAGGTTGGACTCCCCAACAGGCAGCAAGAGGGAATTTATTGCTAACATGGAGATTTAATCAGGGTAGGAACCTGAGAGGTGGCAACCAAAACCAGTTCAGATGAGGATCTACAACAGCACACTGAAATGAAAACATTTAGCTTTTCAATTCAGGTGATTCAGTTTCCAGTTTTAATGCCAAACTAGTCTACTGGCAGTTGCTTCTCTTAGACTTGAAGTATCTAAAATTTGGTTTTCAATATCTAAGGTAGTTGCCTGTTTTTTTTCTCCGGAGAGCAACTCAAGCCACCAATCTTAGGCACTGATCATAGATTGCGGTCTAGCCTTAGACTACTCGTTAGGCATACAGTGTTAGAACGAGATGAATCCTATCCCTCATGTTCGATCAAAATCAGTTCATTGTCGCAAAGCAATTTGAACCTGATGTTTATCAGTCACCATCTATGCACAATTACTTATAAATAATGTCTATTATATAATAAAAATGCTATTACAGAGAGGAATGGTATTGTATTTTAAGGTATATCTCTATTTTTGCTTTCTAGCCTCTACCCCAAATAAGATGCTAACAGAAGAGTACTGGATCAGATGATGAGATTCTTTCAATCGTTTATTAAGTAATGTCTTGTATACCACAACACGAATAGATTACTTTTGCCTGTGTATAAAATTCTGCTTTCCTTAAAATAAGCTTAGACTGGCATTTTCCAAAGAATTGCCCTGTACTTTTTAAAATACATGCAGTAAAATCTTCTGTGTAAAACATTCATTATGTAAAATACGACAATAACAATAAATCAGTTGTCCCATGTGTTGCTCAGATGTGTAATAAAATTATGTACCAGGAAGCCCATAAATTTTTATATGGCTTTACAAGCCTCTGAAAAGTAATTCACATATAGTTCTCTTTTTCTCCGTAACTCAAGAAATGTGCCTATGCTCACATGCTAGTCCAGGAGACAAACAATTAAAGACACGTGTCCCGCTGGTCACAGTCTGATTGTATTCATGACATTAAAGCACTGGTGAATTTAGCCCAGAGATTTGTATCTTTTAGAAGAAGAGAAACATTTTTAACACAGGTGGCATCTGGTCTTACCCTCTTCAGGCAACTGCAAATCCTTAGAGATCTGAGGTAGAAAGATACCTTTTGCTTGTTTGATTTCTTTACTGATCCAAAGAGCGAGCAAACCCCTGGGCTCAAATTACAACATATAACATCTTGGAGAAACTGTACTAAAATAACACCGAGCGTCATGTGGTGGAAAAATGAAATTCAGTTTGTACACACAAGCTTAAGAAAATGGAATATGCTCACCAGGAGGAGAAAAAGGAGGCAACATGACATTTTGCCTAGGAGGGGTGCTATAAGGCTTAAAGGTCATTAATGAGAAACAGAGGCACTGTTGCTAAGCCAGTAGTCATACAGTAAGCCCTCTCCTGTCTGCCATGGGATGCACGCTGTTCTATTTTGTTTTGGTTTGCGGTTTTTCTTTTTTTAAATGGAAATGAAAAAAACCCTGCAACTTCTTAAATAGCTCTGCCTCTACATGAACTCATTTACATGTCCTATATTACTATCCAGCAAATTCAGA